TATCGAATTCAACACTACAGCGTTGGGGTGGCGGTGTATTCTCGCTAGAGTCTACATGCATGTTGGTGGGTGTCAGCATCTCCCCATCCGACACCTCATCATGGCCGTGTAGGCTCAGTACTCGGCCTCCGCGTAGGTGTCGATCTGGGCAGCGTCGCTGCTCGGCACTCGGTGGTCCTCCGCTGCCTGAGCGACCGCCTCGACATCTGTCCGTCTCAGCGGCTTGCGGAATGCTGCCATCGCCGCCCTCGACTTGCCCTTGTCGTTGGCGGGACGCCTTGAAGATCCTGGCGCTCTCGCCCTCTGGGTGCGAACGCTTGGACTCCGCGATGCTGACGTCCTCTGGCTGCCACGCTGGCGCGGCCCGAGCGAGAACTGGCCCTCGGAGCCGCTCTCGAAAGCCGCAGCCCGCTCCCTCACCGAAGTCCGTCCCGCGGTCATGTCCTGCGCTGTGGACTCCACCCTCGGTATCGGCGTCCACGGCTGCGTCGGCGTCAACGATGGTGGTGAACTGGGAGCTGCAGTCGGTGGTGACGGCGCTGGTGAAGCTGGCACAGAGATGTGGCCTGCTACCGCTGCCGCTGGCGCTGCCGCGCGCACCACGTCTCTCATCATCATGGCCTCCATCATCTGCTGCATCTGCAGCATCTGGTCCGCCATGGGCTTCAGCTGTGCCTCGACCTGCTGCTGGACCGCATGCTGTATGCTGGCACTCGATGGTGCAGTACCTGCTGTGGACGCCGCCGGTGTCGATGCTGAGGAGGAGAGCGCGACTGGAGTCGGAATCACTGGCGAAGCAGGGGCCGGCTGACCTGCTGGGATCTCCTCCAAGGTGCGCTCGAGGAAGACCACAACGCCCTGGCTCGGCTTGTCCTCGTCCATGTCCTCGCTGGCCTCCAGTTCCTTCTGGCGCTTCTCCTCCTCCATGAGCTGGTGGATCTCCTTCTTGGTACGCTTCAGAGCATCCAGCTGGTCCTGCAAGTTGTCTCTGATGTTGACCTTCGCTTGGAGCTGGTCCTTGAGCGAAATGACTTCTTTGTTTGCTGCTTCCACGCGCAGCATCATCCTGGCTAACGTAGTCTCCGCCCAAGCACTTTGCTGGTGCAAGCTCTTCTCGGAGATCAACATTCTTCTCAGTATGGAAATGGAAGTGGCGAGTTCCTGCACTGGCTCCCTCATGGCCCACGCGAGGTTGTACCGCTGCTGGAGCAGGTTCAGCCTGGAGCGCGTCTCGCGGTAGTACTCCTTCTTCTCCGACTCGGTGGCGCGCGAGCTCAGGGGTCGGTAATCTGGATGAGCCTGTGTTTCTGCAGGGGTCGCCATGCGAACGAACGGGGCTCCGTTGGACTTCAGGTCGTCTTCCCATGGGCGCGACTCTGATGCTGATCTCTGGCTCTTCTGGCTTTTGGATCGCTGGCGGCCCTTGGGGTTGCTGGTGCCGCTCTCTTTCTTGGAAGACTTCCAATGACCGTTGCACTTGACGCAGTTCACCGACGAATTCCAGTTCTGCTGCCCGCATCTGCACTGCCATGCGCACGTCCATGGCGCCATCAACGGAACCTGCTGACTGGAGCTCCGCAGCGGGAGCAGAAACAAAGAGGAAAGTGGTGAACCTGACCAGGATCTTGGCCAGAGCGGTCGTGTTGCCGAGGAGCGCTGTGCTCCAAAACCTTGGGCCCTGCTACGGACGGGCCAAGACCTAATCGCTGGTTCTCGGGCGTCTATAGCCCTTCACAGCGTTTAAGTCTTGAGCCAAAATGGCTACGGTCCCTCCTTCTCCTCCTCCTCCTCCTCCTCCTCCTCCTCCTCCTCCTCCCCCTTCCCCCCCCCCCTCCTCCTGCTCCTCCTCCTCCACCTCCTCCTCCGATACCTCAGCCTCGTCAATGGAGTGGCGGTCGCGCCCGACATGTCAGCCACTTGCGCCAAAACCAAGAGCGCTTCGTTCACCAACCATGCCTTCTGCGAAAAGGGTCTCGAGCAGAACAACGCCTAGAAGCGGGGGCGCTCGTCCCTTGGAAGGCCCACGTTGGGTTGGTGCTGGACGTCTCGAGCGGCCATGACGATTGGCGGCATCAGTCGCTTGCTCCCCTCAAGCCCGCCCAACTGCCAGGCCTCGGCCCGCTCGTCAGCCGCGGGCGGACAGCAAGAGGTCGAAGAGCAGGACCGGGCAGCGGAGCAGACGCAGAGAAGCCATGGACCCCAAGCTGCGCGAGGCCTGTGAAGGCCTGGCCGACGAGGTCACAGCTACGCCTGCCGACGGGGTCTACAGCGCGCCTTCGCACATCCCGCTTGAGGCGCGGGAGGTTGAGGCAACGAAGGCTCTGCCTGGACCCTTGCACTCATGGCAGGGTTCGCTTCGATCCGCTCGATCCGAGTGAATATCCATTCCGCCAGGCCCGATCCAATTCGCTCCCAGTTTCTGGGCGATGCGATGCGACAAGGTGTTTGCACGGCGTTGCTGTGCATCTTGGCGCGACCGATCCCATTCGAGTTCGATTCCGTGCCCCTGCTGATTGATCCTGCATGCCCGTTTTTGTTCCCTCTGCTCACCTCCTTGGTCTGCGTTGCCATCTCCCGCTCCGTCTCCTCATCTTCACGCTCCTGCTTTCCCGCTTCCCAGTCATCAGGAGCCAGTATGTGGAGCACGTTCCTTACCATCATCCTCTTCATCATCATCATCATCATCATCATCATCATCAGCAGCAGCAGCAGCAGCATCATCATCCCCATCACCATCATCAGAATCATCATCATCAGCTGGAGCATCATCCGCAACATCATCAGCTGCATGATCATTATCATCAACAGCATCAGCATCATGTTCACCAGCATCACCCACCATCATCAGCAGCATCATCAGCATCATCATGATGTAATCATAACTACTCATCTTGTGCATCATCAGCAGCAGCATCCTCACCATTATCATCATCATCATCATCAGCATCAGCATCATCATAATCGTCATCACCATCATTGTCGCCGTCGTTGTCATCGTCGTCGTTGTCGTCATCATCATCATCATCATCATCATCATCATCATCATCATCATCATCATCATCATCATCATCATCATCTGCAGCAGCAGCAGCAGCAGCAGCAGCAGCATCAGCATCAGCATCGTCGTCATCAGCATCAGCATCAGCAGCATCAGCATCATCATCGTCATCATCATTACCACCATCACCATCATCACCATCGTTGACTGTGCGTCGCTGCCTGCGGTAACCCGGAAGTTCCCGAGCCAGACGGCACGAGCGTTGTTCGTTGTGCGTTTTTGCATCTTTGTCTGACGGTTCGTGATCTCCCGGAATGCGAGTTTACGGTTGTTTTGGCCGAAGTTTCCACAGCCCACGGGCTCTAGCTTATATGGCTCCGACCCGACATGCGCACGACGGGACGGGGAATTCCGTCGGCAGTTGTGCAGGGAGGTCTGTCATGTTCTGGTGGTACTGTACTTCTTGAAACGTGGAATCATGTCCAGAAGCCAATTAGTTCGTTGGACGCATGTCCAGAAAACGTGGAATCATTGTCACGTTTTGTTGGTATATGTTGGAATTGTGCGTGGCCAGTCCGTTGCCGAAGCACGGCCAGAAGCTTCTCAAGGCGCAACACGTGGCAGACCACGCGTCCCGTTCAGATCCCTGGGTGCACGCTGAGGCCGCAGGTGAAGCTGCCTATGGTGCCACGAGATGCGCGAGGGGTGTGCCGAGTTGGGGGGGCGGGTGCGCCATGCGGTCGGGCAGACCGTGGGTGGAACTCCCCGATGATCGGGTTGACCCAAAAGGGTGTCCAGCGACGAGGGGGTGGTGCAATAGATGTGGTGCAAGTGATTTGTGGGGTTGCAATACAGTCTGGGCGTGCATTACATTTCCGGGGCGCAAATGTACCGCTGGATGTTCGCGTGCAATACATTCGTTGCAGCACAATGCAATACCATTCTCCATCGCAGTACACTCGCAACACAATTGCCCCAAAGTTGTTGCACCACCCCCCGTTGCAGTGGGACCCCCTTTCTGGGTCGCCCAGAGATGAGGCCACGACGCGCGCGACTTTCGGGCGCGTCCGCCCGACTTTCGGGCAGACTTTCGGGCGCGTCCGTAGGGGGCCTCGTGCGAACCCTACCCCTACCCCCCCCACGATTTCTGAGGGGGAGGGTGGGGTTCACTTCGCTCGGGAGCGCCCGAGCGAAGTGAACCCCCACCCTCCCCCCCTCAGAAATCGTGGGGGGGGGGGCAGGGATAGGGCTCGCACGAGGCCCCCTACGGACGCCGACATTCGCACCCGCGACGGCGCGACTGTCACGCGAAGAGCTGGGCGTGCCGACTTTCCGGCGCGTCCGCCCCGCGGCCGCGCGCCGGGGCCGCGGGCGGCGCTTCTCGCGGGGGCCACGAGGCGCGCGAGGGGTGCGCCGAGCTCGGGGGCGCGCATGCCCCGCGGCCGCGCGTGCGAGGGGTGCGTGCGCCGCGCGGTCGCGCCCACCGGGGCCGCAGGTGGAGAGTTCCTTTTCTGGTCTTCCTCCTTCTCCTCCTCCATCTCCTCCTCCTCCTCCTCCTCCTCCTCCTCCTCCTCCTCCTCCTTCTCATGCCCCATCCTCCTGCCCCATCCTCCTCCTCCCCCTCCTCGCGGAACGTGCGAGGGGCGTGCCAGAGCGGGCATGCGGAGAGCAGGGGCAGGAGACGAGACGAGCCCATGGAGTCACATGAGTCAGCTCGCTGGGCCTGGTCGCCTGTGGCTCTGGGAGTGGGCAACTTCGGCCGCAGACTCGAAGAGCATCGCAGCGGCTGCCTGCACCCCCCGCGTGGGGCACCGGCCCGCCAGCACCTCCGAGGCACGCAGCCCCAGAGGAGGGCTGGCTCGAACGGCACGGGAGCTGGAGCAGGGGCAGCGGGAGGAGAGGGAGGAGGCGCGCGCGCGGCTGCTTCAGACCGAGGGCTGGACTCTCACGAGAGCACTTTGGGGAGCAACGGGGAAGACAGAGCCGCGCGGGCGCCCATCAGGCGCGACAGCATCCGCGCGACCAGCGTCAAGGTGCAGGCGGGGCCGCGCCTGGCCGGCTCGCGCCCCCTGCCTGGCCTTTGGTGCGCGTCCCCCTTCCGCTCCCCAGGGCCGCCGCACGCGGGAGCGGCCCCCGTGTGCGGCTCGGCGCCGTTTGCCTGCTGTGGGCTTCCTCTCCTCCGCCGCCGTCGTCTCCGAGGATGCCGTCTCCGAGGGCAGAGGGGCTCCCAGCTTCAGCTCTGAGGGGAGCGAGCAGTCATCGGCCACGCGCAGAAAGGGGGGGTAAGGGGGGGGGAAGGGCTTCTCAGAAGCAGTCATGCTTCTCAGAAGGCGCGGGCCTTGTCTGTAGATGTAAGGCCCACGCCTTCTAAGAAGCAGCGTCCTTCTAAGAAGCCTTCCCCCCTCCTCCTGCCCCCCTCTGCGCGCCGCGAAAGTTGTGACCATGATGATAATGATGATGATGATGATGATGATGATGATGATGATGCTGATGATGATGATGATGATGATGATGATGGTGGTGGTGGTGGTGGTGGTGATGATGATGATGATGATGATGATGATGATGATGATGATGATGATGATGATGATTGATGATGATGATGATGATGATGATGATGATGATGATGATGATGATGATGATGATGATGATGATGATGATGATGATGATGATGATGATGATGATGATGATGATGATGATGATGATGATGATGATGATGATGATGATGATGATGATGATGATGATGATGGTGGTGGTGGTGGTGGTGGTGGTGGTGGTGGTGGTGGTGGTGGTGGGTGGTGGTGGGTGGTGGTGGTGGTGGTGGTGGTGGTGATGATGATGATGATGATGATGCTGATGCTGATGATGATGGTGATGAAGATCATGAAGATGAAGAAGATGAAGAAGATGAAGAAGATGATGATGATGAGGAGGATGAGGAGGAGGAGGAGGCTGATGCTGATGATGATGTTGATGATGATGATACTGATGATGGTGATGGTGACGGTGATGATGATGATGAGGATGGTGATGAAGATGACGATGATGATGACGACGATGACGACGATGATAGTGATGCCGATGATGATGATGCTGATGATGATGATGACGAGGAGGAGGAGGAGGAGGATGAGGATGAGGATGATGATGATGATTATGATTATGATGGTGATGATGATGATGATGATGATGATGATGATGATGATGATGATGATGATGATGATGATGATGACAATGGTGGTGGTGATGACGATGCTGATGATACATTCCAACAATCGCAGCATTTGCTGCGAAATTCCCGATTGCCCCGCCCAGGCTCCAAAAAAAAGGCTCGCCGAATATTCCAGGATGCTTGGAACATGCCTTGAGCTTATCGCATCTTGACATCATCCTCGTCTCAGCCTTCTCGAGCTTCCGTTGGAGTGCGCCGGGCGGGAACGGTCGAAGACGTGCCAGATTTTCTGGAGGTAGGAAAAGGGTGTGGTGTAGAGGGGTGTGGTGCCGATGCTGGATTTGGCGAGGTTATCTACCGTTGGTAGCGTCGCCATGTCCACGATTGGCACCACACCCCTCTACAGTACGCCACACCCCTTCCCGACCTCCAGAATTTTGCTCGGCTGCACGTAGAAATGCCCCTTTCGGCGGCGCGCTGAGGAGGGGGGGGCAAGGGAGGGGGGGGGGGGGGGCAGACCCTTTCAAAAGGCGGCAGGGCTTCTGAGAAGCCCATCCGGCCTTCTGAGACGTTCCCAGCGGCATCCTGAGGAGACCCGCCCCCTCCATAGTGGACACCCATGCCAAGCAACTTTGTGTGTGCCTCCTCGGTGCCCTGGGTTCCTTGGGTTTCGATGGCTTTGCTATGAAAAGCGTGACGTTCCCACACCAGAAATCAATGGACGTCCTGGGATCTCAGGGTTGGGTTTCTTCTGGAAGGTTCCTTGTGGTCGAGCTCCCTCTGTACCGATCAAAACCGATCCTGGGACCCCTCCCAGGGTCCATCCGACGCGGTTTTCCACCCCGGATCGAGTTTCTCGGGGGGCCCGAAAACGGCCCCCTTAGGCCGAAAACTGGGAAGCATTGCCTCGAAGTCCGAACCTGGGCACGCCGCCGACCCTTCTCGGCCACGCACAGAGGGGGGCAGGGGGAGGGGGAAGGCTTCTTGGAAGCAGGCTGCCTCGGAGAAGGCGCCGGCCTTCCATCTGCAGACAGGGCCCACACCTTCTGAGAAGCAGAGGTGCGTCCGAGAAGACGCGGCTCTCAGGGAGCGACCGGGCGGGCGGGGGGGGGGGGCAAAGGGCCGAGCACGCGGCCCGCCTTTGCTCCGCACCGCGCGCAGCCATCGGCAAGCTGTGCACCGGAGGGCACCCCTGCCGGGGGTCAGTCTTGCGTGTACAGTGGAGACGCATGGCAAGAAACACCCTGCTTGCCTTCAGGGTGCCCTGGGTTTCCTGGGGTTCCATGGTTTCGCTGTGGAAGGCGCGACGCTCCCACACCAAAAATCCACGGACGTGCTGGGATCTCGGGGTTGGGTTTCTTGCGGGAGGTTTCTTGTGGATTGGCCTCCACTGTAGTCAAAGAAAAAAAACGGCACAAACAGAGTCGGCGGCGAGCGAGGGGGGGAAGTGAGAGGGAGAAGACTTGCTCAGAAGGCCCGGAGGTCCCCCTGAGCCTTACCCGGAGACAGAAGAAATTCCCCCTCGCACGCCGCCGACATAAATTGTTGGCGCTCCGCGCGGACCTCCAGGATCTGCGCTGGAGCGTCCTGGCGGCGCCTCCAGCGCCGCCCCTGGCGCGTGGAGCGCGCCAGGGAGGGGGGTCCAGCGCAGGTCCAAGGAATCCGCGCGAACCGCCAAAAGTTCAAAGTTCAAGTATAGTCGAGATTGATTAGTAGGTCGACCCTGCCAGATCAAGGGTACCCTTGTGTCCTGAGCTTCGCCACCCATGCCTTCTTACATTCCTATGGCAATGTGGCCCTCGGAAGGGTCTTGTGTCCTCTCGCGTGTCCTCTCCAAACAGCCCCGACTGCATGTCTGCACAAGTCGGTCCCAAGCCCCGATGAACTTGGCAGGCCAGCGGATCTCCAGACGCATCTGGAGAGGTCGGGGATCCGCGGACAGCCTGTGCTCACCGTGCCGCGTGGGCGTCTCTGGAGGCGTCGATCCTCGACCCAGCAATGCTACGGTGCATACACATTGCTCATGTTTAATTATGCGAATATTCCTCGATGTTTTGGAGGCCAAGATCCTTTCGTCTGTAATTGTTCTATCCTGGGCCTCTTCTGGCCACTAGGGGGCCAGGAACCACCAGAAGCGAGCACAATCAGAAGCGAGCACGATTAGAAGTGAACGACGCGCAGCTGCTCGGCCCCGAGGGCCGAACAGCCTGCGCCGTGCCGCGTGGGCCGAGACCTCGCCGAGCGGCCGCGACCCCCTCCCCCGCGGCCCGTCTTCCCTCCCCCTTGGCATCGCTCGGACGTGTGCACTCCTCCTTCGGCGAGGACCATCGAGGAGCATCCCTGATCAGCTGGCGAAAAAACCACGCACGAAGCCGAAAAAAACACAGGGAATGGACGTCCGAGCGATGGCCAGACCCCGCTCGTCCTCCGACTCCCCGACGGCCCCTCTGGCGTCCGGCAGCGGCCTGCGGGGACGCCGGAAGGGCGGCGGCGGCGAGCGGCAGGTTTGTCGCCGGAGGTCCTCGGAGGTCCCGAGAGGCTGCCCGTTCGAGGCCCCGAGGCGGCCCAAGATGGCTCCAAGAGGGCCTCGGGGAGCCCAGGATGACCTCCCAAGACGGCCCAAGGCAGCCCAGGATGGCTCGATGTGGCTCCCAAGATGCTCCAAGAAGCCCCCAGAGGCCCCCCTCCCAAACAAAAAAGACCCAAGATCGCCGAGAGTCTGGAAGCCTCGGACCTCGAGCCTCCTCGGAGGTCGTGCGGGGCTGGGACCAGGAAACAAGTCGCGAGAAAAACCCAAGATCGCCGAGAGTCTGAAAGCCTCGGACTTCGAGCCTCCTCGCAGGTCGGGCCGGGCTGGGACCAGGACACAAGTCGCGAGAAAAACCCAAGATCGCCGAGAGTCTGGAAGCCTCGGACTTCGAGCCTCCGCGGAGATCTGGCGGGGCTGGGACCAGGACACAAACCGTAAAAAACCCAAGGTAGCCGAGAGTCTGGAAGCCTCAGACTTCAAGCCTCCTCGGAGGTCGGGCGGGGCTGGGGCCAGGACAAAGATCGTGAGCGTTCTGGGGCGCTCTCGGAACGCGTTCCGGAGGCCCCTGGAGTGGCCGCGACGCTCGGTGAGTCTTGCAGACCTCGATGGTCACCAGGGATGCGACCCATCCTGGTCCGATGGTGTTCGAGTCTTGGCTTCTTCGTCGTAGCAGGAGGAGGAGGAGGAGGAGGAGGAGGAGGAGGAGGAGGAGGAGGGGAGGGGGAGGGAGGGGGAGCGGGGAGCAGGAGAGAGGAGGAGGAAGGGAGGAGGAGGAAGGAGGCGGAGGAGGGGAGGAGGAGGGAGGGAGGAGAGGAGGAGGAGAGGAGGAATAGCAGGAGGATTGGCAGGAGGAGGAGGAGGAGGAGGAGGAGGAGGAGGAGGAGGAGGGGAGAGGAGGGGGACAAGGAGGAGGAGGAGGAGGAGAGGATCCGCAGCAAAGGAGGAGCGAGGGGGAGGCGGAGGAGGAGTAGAGGAGGAAGGAGAGGAGGAGGAGGAGGAGGAGGAGGAAGGAGGCGAGGGAGGAGAAGCAGGAGGAAACAGGATGAGCAGGAGGATCAGAGGAGAGATGGAGGAAGAGGATGACGAGGAGGAGGAGGAGGAGGAGAGGAGGAGGAGGAGGAGGGGGGAGGAGGGGGGAGGGGAGGAGGGGGAGGAGGAGGAAAGGAGGAGAGGAGAGAGGGGGAGGGGAGGGAGGGAGGGAGGGAGGGAGGAGAGGGAGGGAGGGACGGAGGGAGGGAGGGAGGGAGGGAGGAGGGAGGAGGATGAGGAGGAGGAGGAGGACTGCCGCAGCCTCGCAGGCGGTCTCGAGCGTCGCGAAGTCCGCGATGGTCATGAAGAAGATGCACGACGTGGCCGGCGCGCACGCGGAGGAGGACCAGGAGAAGAAGGACGCGCTTCTCGCTCCTAAAAACGGTAACGTCAGGGGGGGGGAACAGGCTTAGCGAGAGGCTTCGAGGTTTGGAGGCTTCGAGTTTGGAGGTTTTGAGGGCGTTTGTTAGTTATCCTCCTCCCTCCTCCTCCTCCTCCTCCTCCTCTCCTCCGCTATCTCTCCACCTTCCGTTTCCTTCCCCTCCTCCTATCCTGCCACCTTCTTCCTCCTCTCCTCCCCTGCCTTCCTCTCCTCCTCACTCCACTTCTCCTTCCCTCCATCCTCCTCTCCCTCCCTCCTTATATCCTTCCTCCTAACTCTCCGCCTCCACGCCTCCTACTCTCCTCTCCTGTCCCTCCTTCCTCCTCCTCCCTCCTCCTCCCTCCTCTTCTCGCTCCTCCTCTCCGCCTCTCCTCCTCCTCCTTCCTCCTCTCCCTCCCTTCCTTCTTTTCCCACACGTCCTCCTTCTCTCTCCTGTTCTCCTCACACTCCCTACTCCCGTTCTTTCCTGTTCCTCCTGTCTCCCTCCTTTCTCCTCTCCCTCTTCTCTCCCGTCAACCTGTTCTCCTTTTTCTCTCTTCCTCTTCTCTCCCCTCACTGTTCGACTCCCGGCGACGTTCCACCAGCGGGCTTCCCGTGTCGGGACGCTTTTTCCAACAGCCGCGCCTGAACTCCTTCCCTCCCCGGGGGCGACCGAGGGGTGGTCTAGATCGTCCACACGGGTCCCGAGCGGCCGCCGGAGAGCCGAGCCATGCCCCACGGCAGCGACCTCCAAAGCACCCACGGATCGCCGAGGTGGCCTCGATGGACCACCCCGCCCAGGAGGAGGAGCAGGAGGAGGAGGAGGAGGAGGAGGAGGGAGGAGGAGGAGGAGGAGGGAGGAGGGGAGTAGGAGGAGGAGGGAGGAGGGAGGAGGGAGGCAGGGAGGAGGAGGAAGGGGAGGAGGGAGGAGGGAGGAGGGAGGCAAAGGAGAGGAGGGAGGAGGGAGGAGGAGGGAACCGCTGTCCCTCGTCCTCGTCGTGGGCCTCTCAAGTGTCATGCTCTGGCTCCGTCGCCTCGCAGTCCCCGTGCGCCTCGTCGTTCCCGTCCGCTGTCTTCCGCCAGCGTCGTCCTCTGGTGCCGGCCCCCTCTGAGGCTTCTGGAGCCCTCCTGGGACTTTGGAGACGTCCTGGGGACTTCGGGGGGTCCCAGGAACCTGCGTAAATAAATCGGGTCCAGGATCGGGATAGAGTGGCCCCAGGGCGTCCTGGAACTCAGAGCGCTCCAGAAGTCTCCGAGAAGGTCGCGACGCCAGAAGCATCCCTCAGAACCGCCGGATCTCGGAGATCCACGATTCATCGCGAGCCGATGCTCTCCCGATCTCGACTTCTTGCTCCGAGGACCTCCAGGACCTCCATCTGGACCTCCAGGCCCCCACCCCCGAATCTGCACCTCGGTGCCGTACCCAGCCAGGAGCAGGAGGAGGAGGAGGAGGAGGAGGAGGAGGAGGAGGAGGGAGGAGG